CTGATTTATCATAAGGCCTGAGAGGCCTAGGGCCCTCACATTTCTAGGGCCCCCCTAAATGATGCAAATATTTTCCTTCTATGTTTTTTCTTAAGAATTATCTATTAAAGTTACGAGAACAAAAATTTAAATAAATATTTAATAAGTTAAAAACATTTCGTACTATAACAACTTTGAAATTTTGTTTAAAGTAACGACTAAGGGGCCCCTGACAGTTCTATGCCTAGCCCCCCCCCCCCCNCCCCCCCCCCCGCATTTCGAGACCAGGCCCTGGAAGTATCTTAGCCATAGTGCACCAAAGAAACTTATTACTAGATTAATTTTAAAAGGACAAAAGATGGCATCCAAGTATTTAATTAACACTAGAAAGACAGAAACTTAGTATATTGCCCAAAAGCAGTCAAAATGCCTGGATTGTGAAAGAATAACCAAAGTGTAAAGAAATTTGTATTAAATCAATTTTTAATATTTTTTTATTATTTGTAGTTATATAACAAGTTATTAGTAAATATTAACAATAAAAAAATTTACTTCACTTGGGTAAGAAAAATAATTTATGCATTNGAATTAGGATAAACTACGTACTTTTTACTTGTACCGGCGGTACAAGTAACGAAAGTAAAAGTACTGCCATGTATGGCAAATAGTGCACAGAAAAAACTTGTTACTAGATTAGTTTTGAAATGACAAAAGTTGGCAACCGAGTATTTAATTGACTCAAAATCATGCATCCGATTATTATAAAAATTATACTGAAATTATCATCTAATTAAAAACGTTCATTTTATTAATATAGGTTGAACACTAAGTGGATCAGATCACCAAATTGTTTTCCCACAAATGCTCAACTTACGCAAGTCTCACTTTATTTGAGATATATTTTTTTTACATCACTTGAATCCAATCTTTTATTTCCCCCATTAATTACACGCTATGAAATATGTTAATGATAGAACAAAATTGAACCCAATTTGGTCTCTTTACCCGACGATACGACATTTAAGATAAGAGATCTAAGGTGTCCATATATTATGAACTTTTTAAGGACCCTTTTGCAAAGAGTTGAAGCCGCTTTTGACAAATCACGTTAATTGCTCTAATCAAGGACAGAATTTATACACAACTTTTAATCATTCTCTTTCAGAATGGCTGAAAAGTCTTCCTGCTAATTCACTTGGCAGGATAAAATATGTTCATTATTTGACAAGTGAGAATGTTTTTTTGGTATAAAGCTGGAGGGCTTTTATTGGCGACCAGGATGGATTACGGTTACGATTAAAAGCTTCGTGAAACGTGATTGAAATTTATATTTCATGCTAACAGCTGTGCAGCGTGGTGCTTAAACTAAAGCTGTTGAAGGTTGCGTCCTCACGTTCGATTTGAAACGGATAGGGTTGAATTAGTAAATATTCTAGCGGGCGAATTTTCCGAGAAATGGTATCTGTTCATATTCACTAATAGGCCTGTAGTTGGGGTTTTCGATTTGAAAAAATTGACGGCAAAAGTTTTTCTGCTTTGGTAACGTCTCGATAAGTGCAAAAAAGTGTCAGTTGCAAAGTTGTAGATTCATATATTTCTCGTAAAATGCTTACCAATATGATAGATATTGCTTAAAAATGCTTACTTGATCTTTTGTCAAAGTTGACCTAAATTGTCGACTTTTTAAACAAATTTCATTTTTTTTTTTTTTTGCCGGAATTATTGCTGAAACGAAGTAAAAACATTTTCGCAACACTATTTTTGAATAAATGGCAATAATTTATAATTAATTCCTTAACTTCTCATTATTTGGTCTTAAAACTTCTAATAATTTGGTCTAATTATTATAATATAATACCCGATATGACAAATATTCTATATTTATATAATATATCGTCTAATTTATCCAATCGTCGGAATTTATATTATATATCGTTTAATTTAAAAATTGATACACGAACCTAAACAAGTATAAACCGGTTTCAGTCGCGTAAAAATATAAAGCTGAATAGTATCACCTGATAATTAAGATTTTACATAGAATATTATAGTACGTCTAATAATTTTGTCTAATTATTATAATATACTAATATAATACCCGATATGACAAATATTCTATATTTATATAATATATCCTCTAATTTATCCTATCATGGCTCAGGGGATAAAGCGTTCGTCTTCCATTGAGATGAACAGGGTTCGAATCCCAGCGATGGTCGAGACGAATTCCGCATCCGACTTTCACCAGCCACAGTGGTAGACGGATCATGGGTTAGAGTGCCCTTGCCGTCAGGCCAACCGTGAGAAGTCATCGTAATCTTCCTCTTCATGTAACGCAAATGCGGGTTAGTTCCACCAAAAGTTCTCCACGAAGGTAAATTTCTCCTAATACTTGATCCAGGAGTTCCTTTGTCTTCTGGATTGGGTTCAAGATTACAAGGCTACGGAGTTGGACATTAGTAGTGGTAGATCCAAAAACCGGGTCGGCTATTCAACGACGGTTATAAAATAAAGTAAAATATTTTATCCCATCGTCTAATTTATATTATATATCGTGTAATTTAAACTACTGATGCACGAACGTAAACAAGTGCAAACCGGTTTCAGTCGCGTAAAAATATAAAGCTGAATAGTATCACCTGATAATTAAGAATTTACATCGAATCTTTCAGTGCATCTAATAGTGTGACCATGGACTGTAATATTTATGTTGCTAATTATGTCAATTAATTGTCGATTTATTCTTTTTAGGAATCTCCAGATTCTCCTGCCGCAGACAACTTGAAATCAAATGGCTCAGCCACAACGACTGTTCAAATCCCGGTGAATGGCCAACAGAAGTCAACAACAGAAGAACCTACTGACAAAAGCTTCAGCAATGTTTTCGACAAATCATCGTCTGAGAAAAAGCCCAAGAAGAACGCGATCCTTCGAATATTTGGTGAAAATCTTATCACTGTGGCCACACTGCTGGGTGTGGTGGCCGGTATTGCCCTTGGATTCGGGTTGAAGAAAGTAAAAACATGGACGGAACGGGAAGTGATGTATGTAAACTTCCCTGGAGAACTCTTTTTAAATATGTTGAAATGCCTCATACTTCCTCTTATCACATCAAGTTTAATATCTGCCATTGGAAATCTAGACACCAGGTTGACAGGTATGTTCTCTAAACGGGGAGGTTTTCGTATCGTGATCTGTGGCAGAATAGTCGCCAAGTTTTGGCTACTTCCGGGCAAAGCAAGAAACTNAAAAAAAAAAAAAAAAAAAAAAAAAAAAAAAAAAAAAAAAAAAAAACACAGAAAGGAACTAACTCCAAAGGTATAGCTCGTAACCACCAAACATCAACATGTTTTTTTTTTCTTTTTTTTTTAAAGAGAAATTTGCAAATTGAAAATCCATTTGGCATCTTGGCGATTGTAGTTGGCGCGACGGATCACGATACGGAAATCTTCCCCTCTGAACAAACTACAGTGGCACTCAAAAGTATTCGTACACTTAAATTACCAACTTCAAAAGTGAATAAAAATTGAAATTGCGTAAAAATTAATTGAAATTTTCAAAAAATCTTAATGTTTTTCAAGTTGTTGCATGAATGATTTGAATTTTTAAGAGGAAATTTTTAAACTTGGTCATAAAGAGCTCCTCGATAGAGTGAGAATTTGAATCTCACCACTAAACCTCGTGCTTCAAAAGTATTCGTACATCCACATTTCAAGTTGTAAAATAATAAAATTAAGACAATTTGTGCGCCAAATATCGTTAGTGGGATTATATTTGACGAGATTTTATATTATTCTTACTTTTACCGCTTTATCTATTTCATTCTTATGTTTACTAGCTTTGAAACTCGCATTTTTTGTTGTCAATCATACAGCTTTAAATTGAGATGGCTCGGAGGGGAAAAGAAACTTCTCTCGCTGAAAGAAAACTGATAATGAAACTACATAATAACTGTAACTCTTTAAGAAAGATATCACTTGCTATTGGAAGACCCCGATCTACAGTGCAGAGTGTTATAGATCGACATTACCAACGCAGTACTGTTGAAAATATTCCACGAAGTGGAAGCCCAAAAATTCTCAGCATTACGCACAGACGCTTACTCGTAAGATTGATTAAGAAAAATCCAAAATTGAGTGCCCCGGCAGTAAAAGTCCTCAAACAGGGAATTTCGATCTCGGTAAGTACTATACGCCGCACTTTTAACGAATTAGGATTCCATGGTCGAGTATCTCGAAAAAAGCTTTTTGTGTCGGAAGTTAATAGAAAGTGTAGTATTATTATTAATCGATTCTTGAATCGATTAATGAGATGATTATAAATATTTTATTATATGTTGGATGGCAACAGNCATTGTAAATGTTATAGATTTGGATATTTCTCCACTCGAAAATGATAATTAAAAGATGCGAACAATTGTGAATTGTAAGCATTGTTAATAAAGTTTGTCTTACAGAAACAATATGATTTCACTAAAAATCAATTTCTACCCCTCCCTGTTTTCATTTCCACATGACGAAGTTTCACTTCTTCCGCGCGGAGAGACTCCACGCACTATTTTTTTTTTTTTTTTAAGTTTTTACTGCCACCCACCAAATTTTTTTGTTGGACTTTTTGCCCTGGACCAAAAAAGTTTGCCCTTATATTAGCATATTATAATAATTACACCAAATTATTATAGACGCACGGTAGTTTTTTAATAATGACATGTTTTGCACGAGTTTATAGGCAATACTTTTATATTTAAACATACATCTAATGGGTTGTTATTGAGGAGATTTTTATATACTTCCTATTTGTATTTATTTTTAACGTATTGCATTACAATGTTAACCAATTAATACACGGACGTAAACAAGTGCAAACCGGTTTCAGTCACTTAAAAACAATAAAGTTGTATGGTATCACCCCATAGTTAAGACTTTATATCGAATATTATAGTGCGTCTAATAATTTGGCCATGGACTGTAATATTTATGTGGCTAATTATGTCAATTAATTGTCGATTTATTCTTTTTTAGGAATCTCCAGATTCTCCTGCCGCTGACAACTTGAAATCAAATGGCTCAGCCACGACGACGGTTCAAATACCGGTGAATGGCCAACAAAAGTCAACAACAGAAGAACCTTCTGACAAAAGCTTCAGCAATGTTTTCGATAAATCATCGTCTGAGAAAAAGCCCAAGAAGAACGCGATCCTTCGAATATTTGGTGAAAATCTTATTACGGTGGCCACACTGTTGGGTGTGGTGGCCGGTATTGCCCTTGGATTCGGGTTGAAAAAAGTAAAAACATGGACGGAACGGGAAGTGATGTATGTAAACTTCCCTGGAGAACTCTTTTTAAATATGTTGAAATGTCTGATACTTCCTCTTATCACGTCAAGTTTAATATCTGCAATTGGAAATCTAGACACCAGGTTGACAGGTATGTTCCCTAAACGGGGAGATTTTCCTATCGTGATCTGTGGCAGAATAATCGCCAAATTTTGGCTACTTCCGGGCAAAGCGAGAAACTAAAAAAAAAAAAAGAAACAAACAAACAAATTACAGAAAGGAACTAACTCCAAATGTATAGCTCGTAACCACCAAACATCTACATATTTTTTTTTTTAGAAAAATTTGCAAATTTAAAATCCATTTGGCATCTTGGCGATTGTAGTTGGCGCGACAGATCACGATACGGAAGTATCCCCCTCTGAACAAACTATGTAGAATAAATATCTTTTCATTAGCTTGAAGCCAGCTGTTAAAATTTGGAATAAATTTTTTCTTCTTCATTAGGATTCCATTAAAATTAAATTAGTCCCGCTGTGGACTGTTCGTTAAGGCACGGTTTCCAACAGATCACCGAAGTCAAGCGGCTGCGGTCAGTGAACGGGTGGGTGACAACTTGGATCAGTCTGCGTAGGGACCGAGGGTGTGCGGTATTGGTCCTCGTTAAACTGTTCTACCGTAAAGTGCTTGACTTCGCGTGCAGGTCGTCGGACTACCAAAGCGGGGATGGCATCCCCTCTGCAGAGGATCAAAATTGTGATGGCATGTCTTCGGATCATCCTCAGGGATGTTTCCCAGATCGTCGCCAATAACCCATTGTGCAGCTTTAGTACGACGTAAATGAACTATAACATAAAATTAAATTGCACGGAGTTGAGGAAACAGGAGTAATGAATTAAAACGAGTATCTTTGTACTCATCTTTGTTTGTTTCTACTTTATACCGGTTTGGCGATCAGTACACAAAGCTCGTCACTGAATCATTAAATTACTATGCAATTAATAGCTATGAACGACCTCCAGTATAAAACGATACTGGAGGCAGTGAGTTCGAACCAAGAAGTCGAGCAGACATCTGCAAGAAGCATGTAAAAATCCGTCATAGTTGAAATTCATTGGTGTCGAAGTTAGGAAAGAGGTGTACCAGCTCAGACTTTGTACACGTTATCTGATAGGAGTCAAAATTAGACGACCATAGATTTTAAGAGACAGAGCCCTCTAAAACGAGGCAATGTTGGGTGATGTGTGATCAAATGCTACTAGTTGTAATAATAACAAATATTACAAATAGGGTCATAGTGGCTCAGGAGTTAAGACACTCGCCACCCAATGAAGTGGCCCCGGGTTTGAATCTCAGCAATGGCTGATCGACACAAATTACGCCCCGAACAATGACCACTATGCTGACGTAAAATATCCTCATTGGTAGACAGATCGTTGGTCATTAAAGTCCTTTTGCCATCAGGCTAACCATGGGAGGTTTTGAGGTTGCCCTCTCCGTGTAACGCAAATACTGATTAGTTCCCACAAAAAGGTTCTCCTCGAAGACAATTTTAACCCAATACTTGATGCAGGAGTTCCCTTGTCTTCTGGAACGGGTTCAAAATTACAAGGAGTTGAACATTGGTAGCCGTAAACTCAAAATTGGGTCGACTCTACAACGACGGTGATGAAATATTTTTAATATTATTTTTTTATTATAAAATTATTAATAAAAATTATTAAAAAATATTTATTAATAAAATTATTTTTTTGATTGGTGTCTTTATTCTTTTGATAAAATGAAAACTGGTTTTCTTTTTATTTAAGGAAAAATTGGATTCAGAGCAGTAGCCTATTACATAGCAACCACCATTATGGCCATAATTTTGGGCATCATTCTAGTCGTTACGATTCGGCCTGGTGTGGGTGGTATTGGAGCTGACACCGGTGAGAAGAAAAACACTAAACCTCAGTTAACAGAAGACACGCTAATGGACCTTATCAGGTAACTATACCAGAGTTTTTGTGACTCATCCTCCTGGTGTAGGAAAACCTACACCAGGTCCAAAAGACCCCGTCGCCTGAGAACTACGACAATTTCCTCTGACTCACCAGCAATACATAAAAAAAATATTGTTTGGTAAAAAAATAATTTTTAAAAAGGTAAAAACTTTTTATAAAAATATTTAAAATCACTAAAAAAAATTTTGATGCACTGGGAAAAGAAAAATTTATAAAAATTTAACCAGGTGAGAAAAATCGAAACAAAGTAAATATTTGTAATAGTGATTAGAATTTAACCTATATACACAGATTATTTTACCAGCGTTTAAGTATTACGTGAACAGTTAATTCATTTTTCTTAAAAATGGAATCTGAATAAATAGACACTGTTTTTAAGGAACGACGGCTTATATTTACAAAAGGACAACGAGGGCGCAGTTATAGGCATCAAAAGACAAGCAGGGTGGGCCGCCTATCTAAAGCCGCTTAGGTAGAACACTGACTGTACTATTTGTACCATTGAGTTGATTGGATAAATCTGGTGAATAATTTCACATCGATACATCGCCAAGGCACAAAATGTAATTTCATGGTTGTTAAATTTTTTCAAATATATCCTACCTTAGCAATACCTCATAGGAAAGAGAAGGTCTCAGCACGAGTTACCATAAGCAAGAAATTTGATCCCTTTGTAGTCCAAACATAATGACATCTTTCGTATTTTTCACCCACTGCGCAGTTTATATTCGTTACGTCGTACTACTAAATTGATCCACGCTGAGGCCTTCTCTCTTCTAGGAGGTGTTGGCCTTACTCGTAAAAGGATGTGAACTTCTACCCTTCAAGTTTACCCCATTTACTGATTAATATTATTTAGTTTCTTGCGTACACCCAACATAATGAATAAATCATAATACATGAAATAAAAACGCGACTAACTTTTTAAAATTTTTAAATAAGTTAATTAAAAGGAATTTCCTAAGCAGAAATGGAATGTATATTGCATATAATAGTAATTCTGTTAAAAAGAAAAAAACAGAAAGTATCCCCTTCCTTCTCATTCCCGTGATATTGACGGGCTGGAGTGTTCAGTAGTAACGCGCCAATAAGAATAAAACTAATTCATTTCTTTTGCCCGTAAAACATTTTATTTCTCATTTTACACACCTGGTGGCAGTATCAGGATATTTTTAAGGGAATTGTAGATAGTTAGTTTATTTTAAACTAGATGTCAGCACTAATCAAATACGTGTATTTGGCAAAATAGTCACTTTTATGACCGATTTCTTGAAAATCAACCGATCGTTAAGGGAGTATAGATAATCATGCTAGGTAATATTGTAAATTAAATGAGGATAATAATTTTTGTTTTTAACTCCCCTCAAAAAGATATCCAGTTTTATGAAAATTAATTCTGAGATAGTTATGCTGGATATTATAATGTCTTTTAAATGAGGGTGTACATTTTATTTTATAATCCTCTAGCAAGAAATTTTGCAGTTTTATAAAAGATACAGAGTAAATAATTCTGCGAAATATTATTAAATATCTGTTTTTTTGAATGAAAATTTCATTTTATAACCCACCTCGTAAATAAGACCTAAACTAATGGCAGTTTAAACTGATTTCTCTCCTTATAGTCTAGGAACGAAAAAAAAAGTACGTAGTTTATCACATAATAGAAATTAAAATTTTGAAACTATGCTGAAAATTAAAAAAAATATTTTTCCATGTGGCTTTATAAAATTTATCTCTAAGAAACTTAAGTTCTTTGTTCAACACATTTTGTTAGATTTTCAATCAATACGTATTTTTCAAGTGCTTTAATTTTTTAACGATGAAAACATATTTATAAATAAACGAAGTGAAAGAGCATAGCCCAAAGCAGTTTTGTGCTTTGTGATGAGCGTTTTTCACACAAAATAAAAAGAGAGTTACAGAAAAGTGGTAGAGTGCTACAAACAAATTGCAACAACGAAAAAGGGGTTTGACCAATAGGGTTACGAGGGCCGGGATAGCCTGGTCGGTAGGGCGCTGGGCCCATATCCAAGAGGTCGTGGGTTCGATCCTCGCCGGCCGAAGACTCCCCGTGTAGTAAATGGTGACTGATGCACGTTAAATCTGTCGAGTCTCAAAGTCCTCCATGTTCCCACAACAAATCAATACCTCTGGGGGTACTGATCCANTATTTCATTAATTGTCCATTGTCACCAGAATATTACAATTACTGTCTCCAGTTCCATTTGAATGCGCGTTAGTGAATTTGGGGTTTCCAAATTCTCGTTTAAAGTACCAATGAGAACATTAATGCTTCCTGTATTAATCATTTCATCGATTCATTTCCTCAAGATTTCAGAATAAATTCTATTCTGGTGTTCCATCCATTTCTACTAACCCTCAAGAGTACATTAAATAAGTTAAGAAATTCGATCTTTCTTTAAAGAGACGGTGTTAAACTACTTTTAAAATATTCAGTTGATTTACTTTGATGCCTAACCAGTCAACTGAAGTAGAGAAAGGATAGAAATTATCTTAAAAATTAAAGTATATAGCACAAGAATGTTTTGGGACAATATTTCAGAAAATCCAGCTTTAAAATAATTGCTGCATAGAAAAATGCTTCCATTGTTGCTTAAAAATAATATGAATGGAAGAGTGATCTTAGTTAACTGATGTTCTATAAAATTCATCAACTGAATAGTAATTTATAACTCAAAATATAATTTTAAATAGTTAGAAACGAAGCCGAAGAATCTGGGAGAGCTGATAACACAGTTTTAAATCAAACGGGGAAAATATAGTAAATTTACCGTTCTGCTTGTGAATGATATTTCTGGTATAAAAGAAATAATTCAAGTTTATAAAGCCGAAATATATGGATTTGATTGCTTTTCCTTTCATATCAAAAGTGTTTATCAGAATTTCCTGTTTTCAAAATTATAGTTTCTTTTTCCACACATTAAATAAAAAAAATTATTTCTGTAAACTAATTTTAACAAATAAATGGTTTTTATGTCAAGTTCTAAGGTATCATAATAAAATTATCAAATTTTTTCACACGTTATGAAAATATATTTTGCTGTTAATTTTATTAAAATTATTACGATCTTTTTGATGTATTTAAGGAACCATACATATATATATATATATATATAATTTTGTTTTTTCAAAGAGCAGAAATGAAGCATTCCTTTGTTTTCATCTTTAGGATCTATTTGTTTTTTATTTTTTTGTTCCTTTTTGTAAATATGTTAATAAGTTTTAGTTGTAATACAACAGACATTAAATTTGTTTTTAATTTTTTTCAGCACGAATTATCTAATGTTCATTTTCCATTGCAGTTTTCTACTGTGCTGAAAACGCCGGAAGGATTTAATCAAACTGGCAACGAAACATCAGATACAGGTACTTTAATTTCATTACAAATTTTCAGATGTTTATTCAAGATTGGTTCTGTGTAATGTTATCAAAAATGAAATCTTTTTAAAGAATATTTCACGATTTTATCTTACTTATGTTCATCATTTGTATCCGAAAAGTTTCTATAAGAATTAATTTGCAATCACAATTGGAAAATATTATGTATTTTAATTTATTTTTAATAAAAAATCTATCGGTATTTAAATAATAGCTATTAATAATTGTTACTCATATTTTTTTTTATTTTCTAAATTAATAGCTATCGTGGATGTAAAATTAGGTTGAGCCCCAAAAACACAAGAGCAAAATTATGTCTTGAGTTCTGGATGATTACAAATGCTACTAAGATCATCGTCAAAAATTAAACAACGCTCACAATTTAAATTATTAGATTACCTAGAAAGTAATTTCAATTTTTTAATAAGGAATAAAACAAAATTTTTTCTACGAAAAAAAAATAAATAAAAATATAAAAAACGAATTTTTATCTGTCAAATATCTTCCATTGGGGAGGGATAGACTGAAAATGAGAATCCAGCCAACCAAAGACTCCTTGTGTAGTAAATGGTGATTGGTGCACGTTAAATTTGTCGGGTCACAAAATCCTCCATTTTCCCATATCAGCTTATGCCTCTGCGAGTACTGAATTGGAGATTGATCGTTCTCTGGTTGAGGTCAAAATTACGATCTGTGGATGAATGACTGGGTCTGGCCGATAAAACGGGTGAGACGTATGGGAGTGGCAGAAATCGAATTCTTGGCTATAGATGGCGCCACTGAAAAACAAGAACAATCACGCTCCCACTGCCTTAATGACCGACCACAACAACAACGACAAATATCTTCCATTCTGTTCGATGATCTTTTGTTATCTTTCTGGTAACTTCAAGATTCTGAGCTCAGAAAACTTCTGGTCCTTATCAGCAATGCACTCAACCTACGGCAATTTTAAGGTAACATTTAAAAAACATTTAAAAAATTTTACATTAACATTTAAAAAATTTTGCGAACATCGAAATAAACGATAATTTGATGGTGCAAGGTGGGGACTGTATGAGGAATATGCCATTGCTGCTCAACAAAACTTTAATAATTCTGTGCTTACTTACTGAAGATGTGTAAGGACTCGCAAAAGCGTGTTGGAACAAGATTCACTTACAAAATTTCCTTTTTTCTAACCTTGTACTATCAAATCAATATTTATTTCGAAGTTTACAAAACTTTTTAAATGGTAAAAATTTTAGTAAAAAAATGATGGCCTTAAAAATAGGATAAGTTGAGCTTTTTGCTAATAAGGACTAGAATTTCTATGAGCTCGGAATCATGAACTTATCAGAAAGTTGGCAAATGGTCAAAACTGATTAAACTTTTTTTCTTGTATGGAAAATAAATTGAGTTTCATTTCTGTACTAAACCGAAATTACTTTCTTTCTTGTCAACCCAATATTACTATTCTTTTTAAATATGAGTAATTTTATTTTACAAACTAAAGGTACCTTAATTAGTTTATATCAAATAATGTATGAAGGCTAACATAATGAAACCAAAATCATAAACAGCATGTAACGCGACTCCAACTTAAATTGATCTACAGAGTACATGGCGTAAATATTTCTGCTCTAAACATAAGTTGTTCTGTATGATCTTAGACCTGTGAGTGACGTACGCCATAGTTTTAGCCGCTTTCTTGTTTAAAGGATTAACTTATAGTCTTTGGATATAGAATAGGCATCTCTAGGTTATGCAATTACCCCACTCTCCAAACTTTTTCACTCTCTGTTATCATAGTTACGGTAAATCGTACTTTTTTCCAAATTTGAAACCCTGAGCTGTGATTGCTCAGAGGATAGAGCGTTCGCCTTCCAATGAGGTGAACCGCATTCGAATCCCACCGATGGTTGGTCGATACGAATTCCTCATCCGGCTTGCACCGACAGCCGTGCTGACGCGAAATATCCTCAGTGGTAGACGGATCATGGGTTAGAAACCCCTTGCCATCAGAGTAACTGTGGGAGGTTCTCGTGGTTTTCCTTTCCATGTAAAGCAAATGAGGGTTTGCTTCATCACAAAGTCCTCCACGAAGGCAAATTTATAACAATATTTGGTCCAGGAGTTCCCTTGTCTTCTGGATTGGGTTCAAAATTACAAGGCTACAGAGTTGAACATTAGTAGTCGTAAACCCAAAAATTGGGTCGACTGTTCAACAACGGTTGTAAAATAATAAAAAATAAAAAATACCTTTTAGATATAGAATTTGGCCCCTGAAGGTTACGCAATTACTCCCCTCTCCACACTTTTACCCTCTCCGTTACCATAGTTACTGCGAATCTTGCTTTTTTTTCAAATTTAAACCTTTATTATATACTTATCTTACTAACATTTTCATTATTTGTAGTGGATTATAGAACTTGGAAATGGCAAGGAAAAATGGGTGGTGGAACCAACATTCTTGGCCTGGTTGTATTTTCTGTTGTTCTCGGTATAACACTGGGTGACATGAAGCAAAAGGGAAAACCCCTTTTAAACGTCTTTACCTGTTTGAGTGATGCTATTATGAAAATAACTCGAATAGTCATTTGGTAAGTGTTCAGTTTCACTCCTTAAAAAAAAACTTTAAAAGTAAAGGTAATGGATGAAACCAAATATCTGTTTCGGTTTTACTACCAGCAATAAAATTTTTAAAAAAATACTTACTTACACCTAATAGGTCTTCTTAATCTTTTGCAGCTTTCTCACAATACCACTTAAATCGAAGTTTTAGTTGCACTGATGAAAAAATATTTAGTCCTTATTTGAATTGATTTTTATGAACGAGAATCATTCCAGTAATTAAAGCGGAAAAAAAAGAGGTTTTGGGAAATATTATACCCCAGATATTTTTTGACAAAAAGCTTTGTTATATTAATATTACTTGAACAGTACTTCTCTCTCCTGTGTAAAGCGTCCCGCCTTCCTTTAGAGTGATTCGTGGGAGGTGAGTGCAACAGAAATTCTTCTAGGCGAGCATTATTTCCAATGTATTTTTTCACGCTGAATTAAATAAGACCAACCAGGACTTGAATGGAAAAATTGTTCATGTGTTATCAAAGTCTCAAGTACACGAAGTACAAATTTGTACTTGTACCAATTTACGCATCTAAGACATTTTTATGTATAAAAAGTACTGCATTTGATTTGATTAGCATGAACTTTTTACTTTGCTATTTTGGGATTATCTGAACATGCACGGTACATTTTTCGATGAAATTTTTTATGCTGAGTTGAGTGAGATAAAATTAGAGTTGATGGGATTAATAGTTTTTAAGTTATAAGGGATTTCTTCATAATAAGATCAATTCAGATGTTGTACTACCAAAAACACAATTTCAACTTTTGAAATATTATCCTTGATTCTCGTGCGATTAATCGAGTAAAAGTACGCAGGAAATAATACACCACTTATCTATTTAGCTTATCTATTGTACTTTTTGAAATCAAAACCCTTATACCTTCCTAAATATTTATCTTATCAATTTCTGCCTCCGATTTGCATTCGATTCAACAACAAAAATTGCCTCGAAAAATGTATTTTACATGTTCAGATAGTCTCAGGATAACAATATGTATATGTTACGGGCAATGTAATTATTTAGGTCAGTATTCATAATGCTTAGTTATTATGAATAATGACCATTTTGAATTACTTTACGATAATTTCTCACATTGACCGGTCATTATAAATACCGCTATTATTTCTTTGGGCACTTTGATTAATTGACAGCAATGGGACAACCACATGCGTGTGGTATAATTCTGGCTGGCCAATGTTCACCGGTGAATGTTGACAATCAAATTAGTCGCTTTGGTGAATGTCCGAAATATTTATTACATCCAATTTGATACTAATTTATTCGTAGATATAATTACATTTATTCTATATTTTAATGCTCACTGACGATAGATTAGAACAAACATCAGTGTTTGGAGTATCGGGCAAATATATACCGGGCAATGGCACTTGACTTTAAAAAAATATCAGTGTAGGGTATATCGGGCAAATGTATACCGGCAGTGGCACTTGACCTTAAAAAAACATCAGTGTAGGATATACCGGGCAATGG